CGGTTCAGGGTTACTGTTAAGTGCTGTGCAGGAAGAAAAGCAAGAGTTGCAGTCCTAGTTGCTTTTGCTTCTCAGGTCAGTATGACCTGGAGCATGGCATGCTTGGGGAAAGAAGTGTGTATGGAGTTGTTAGCTAGTGGTGCTTGTGGAGTGCACAGGAGAGCATTAGCATGTTTCTGAAGTGATTTCAGGACCAGGAGATGTAAAGCTGTTTTAAAGGCAATGGTGTAAGACCTATTCAAAAGGAAGCGTAGCATAAGCTTCACCTAAACACCTGTACCATCCTGGATCTGAAATGGCTCTCATACAGGGCTTCCAGAGACCATACCATTAAGCAAATCTGGGAATGAATTGACCAAACAAAAGGGTTCCTAAAGGTTTTAAAGGCTGTGTTTCTGCTTATGGTAGTAATGCCTCTTTTTGGTGTCCTGAAGCTCAAGTTCTGCTTAGTTATTAAACTGTTGCAGTCTAATTGAGAAGGCCTGTGTTGGGTATCTGGTTAATAACTGCTTAGTAGGCATTTAGATGAAGTGTTATAATAAGAAAACCGTGATGTTTAGGCAGGCAGGTTTTTTCACACTTCTAATTCTGTGCCACTGGGAACACACAAAGATAATCAGTTCCAAGGCAAACCTGGAAGGCAAATGAGCTACAAGCAAATAATGAAGGTTAGTCATGCCTTACCATAAGAAGTTTACTTTCTTCAGTAGACTGAACAGAAACTTATTCCTCCATATTGTTAAAACAAGCTGACTCAGCCTGTACAAGCTAGAAAATTATACCTTATGAAGGGAGTGGGGGAAGAAAATACCCTTGATCCTCCTTTTTAGTGGTGTGGGCAAAAATGCATAAACATAGTGGTGAAGAGGATCAGACAAGGATCTAAAAATCCATTTGGTTTCCCCTGCTATGACCCAGTGGAAATTTCCAACTGGAGTGCTCTTTGCAGTCCCTCTGCGTGAGCGTTCTGGTTTCATTAGGGAGTCACTTGCAAGGCCTGGACTCCCATCTGTGATGATTAGTAAGCTTAAAGATCAGTGTTGAAGAGAGAAAGTTAAATTCTCACTTTCATTAATATCCCTTCATGTCATTGTGCAAACACAAGGCTTTAGCGAAAATGGTTAGCAAACAAAAAACCTACCCACAAATTGAATATTAGGAGTATTTAACTCATGGGGTACCTTCAGTTTCAGAAGTACACCAGTATTTCATAAGGTTACTGGATGAACAAAATGTACTGCGTTATTTTTCTGGTTACAGACAATGTCCTGTCAGATTTAACAGCTGAACAGCTGCTGCAGTGTCAGAATGTGTGAAGCTGCCTCTGTGCAGCTAATCTGCCTTGTGCTGTGTGTAATGGACTGGTTTTCCTCCTCATCTCTGACAAACATTTGTGGAAGGGATTGGATTAAGTTTCTAGTTAAGATTGGCTGTGGCAACACATCTCTGGTTACTATGATAATTAATGCAGATGACTGTGAAACGCTTCAGCTGAAGAGGAAGAATGTTATGAATTTGTCTTAGTGAAGTTGTCTTAAAAAAAATAATAACCATGCAGCACATGAAAATACTGAAGATTTTTGTGAGTTGTCCTACTGCACTTTAGAGTGCTTGTGAATTGTAAAGAATTTTAAGACGCATCTGTCGACGCACGCTGTTTTACTGACCTGCTGATGGAGGGCTTCACCATTTCCAGGCTGTCAGTGAAGTCAGAATTCCCACTATGTTTCTCTCCCTTATCTCCTTTCTCTGCTACCTCCAAATTTGGGCCCCCCCCATACGTGGAGTCAAATCCTAAAGATCAGGAGTGGGTTTTTTCCAGTCTTCCAAGACATTTGAGTTTCATTTCCAAATACATCGTATAGGTGTAGCTGGACCTCCACTGCCACGCTAAAGTACTGATCTGTGCTGCGTGTTGTCATTTTATATAGATGGGGACAAGATTTTGCAACTGTGGAGATGCGTATTTGTAAGGCACCAAGCTATCTTGATGTATGGGGGTTTTTGGTTCCTTTCTCTCATATTTTGGCAGTGGAAAACCAGTGCCAGCTATCTGGTTGGGTAGTAGCAGTCTTCCATCCTCTGCAGCCCTAGTCTGTTTAGATGTAGTTTGAAGCCGCCTTCTTGGTTGCTCTGTCAAGTGCGACATTCCTTCCGTTTGCTGTTACAGTTGCTTTGCATGCCACTTTCTGCTTTCTCATTCACCCTAGCAGACCTGTCTTCATCCTGTTTGTTCCTTTGCTATCTGGGCTTAGACTGGGCTGCATTCGGTGCCTCCTCCTTGCTGTGGGATTGTGTGCTACAACACGGTAGCTACTTAAGGTTGCACCATTTTTAGTGCTGAGCAGTGTCAACTCAGATTTCCTTGCTTATAACATGTAACTTCGATGGAAGAGGATCCCAGCTTTTTTGCCCTGGTAGAGCAAAGGCTTTCTTGAGGAAACAAAACTACAGTAGTTGTCTGCCTGCCTATCCTTTGAGTGTTAATGGCAAAAACCCCCAAACCAAACAAAAAAAAAAGCCTTGGGGGTCAATGAACACTGTCAGAGCTGCTTCTCCTTTTACTGCAATGTAACTGTTAACATGAGTTGTCTTAACTGGTGGTTTTGTTTTTCTTCCCTCTTCTAGACGATGGACAGAGAGTTCAGAAAGTGGATGAAATGGTATGGGAAAAAACATGCAGAATACACAGTGAGTGAAATTCAGGTGAAAAACTTTGTGATCCTTGCTGATGTACAGAATTTGCAAAGTCCTCTTCAGCCTTTCGCCAGCCATGCGACAGCATGAGTCATACCTGCTACCTGGCTTTTTACTTGATCCTGAGGATGGTGTTTTCCAAGACATCCTCCCATGGCCCTCTCTTTGCCTTGCTTGACATGTGGTATGGTGTTGTTGGGAGCACTTTCAGGTCTTTTCAGAAGCTCTTGGAAGCTTTATTCTTCTAAAACATTGTCATTTTAACTGGGGCTGCCATGTGTCTTCTGTTTGTATTGAAACTTCTTTTGCCTTTTTTTTTTTTCTTTTCCCCTTCTCTCTCCATGGTGTGGGGTTTTTTTTCTGGGTAAACTCTTGAAAATGACAGCTCCTCCTTGGGTTTCTGAAATCTCTTGCTAGAAACAAAAGCTGAAGGTTTGGTTCTGCAGGCAGGTAAAGGTGGGGTCACCTGGGACAGGTGGTTGAGGGGATGGGATGGCAGGGGCTTGAATGTTGGGAAGCATGGGGTTGAAGTTCTGGATGAATGCCGGCACTGCGAGATTAGAGCAGAAAACTCCAGGACCAATAGATGGTTTGTAGCTGAAGGTAAGGGGGGGTTGTGGGCTCAGGAGGGATGGTGGGTGGTTAGTTCTGATTTGGAAAGGATTGGAATTAGATGCTCTGAGGGTGGAGTTAGAGCAGGAGGAGTAAATGGGTCATCACAGGGCATGTATCTACTCAGGGCTAGGGACACATGATGAAGTAGCTTTCCCCTTCCTCGGAATGTTGGATTGTGGATGTGTTTACCGCTCTGTAATGACAGTGTGAGGCATGTGCAGAGTCCTACACTCTCTTGTGTCATTCCTTCCCTTTTCCTTTTCTCCCCCTTCATAATTGTCATTAAGAAAATCTGCTCCCTTGTTAACCGCTTTCCAGTGAGGAAATGTATGTAATCATAGTACAAGAGGAAGCAACTGGGAGTTTTGAAAATACTTGTATTTCTGCTTCTCTGACCACTGGAGAATGGATCAGGGTTGTTCCCTAATTGCCCAGAGAAGTTGGGTCAGTCTTTCCTGCTCATGAGTTGCAGCTAGCAATGCGTACTGCAGTTGAAGTGCGAGCAAGTGTTTGGGGAACTACTACTTCATTTTCCTTTTGTACAGAGCCACTACTGCTGTATTACTGGAATGGTTTGAAACACGTGGCTTTCAGCGTTCCAGCAGTGTGGGATCAAATGGCAGGTCGTAGATGGCCAGCCTTTATTTCCCAATTTTCTGTGTCTACTGGGATCCCTGGTGCTCTTTAGAGGGCTTATCTTTTAAGGAAGGATGCTACAGCTCTCCCTTTGGGAAGCAGGCTGGAGACGGTGACAGTGCCACCTGCCTCTGTGCACTTTCGTCCTGAAATGCCTTTCCTGTATAGCACGATTTTCTTCAGAGGGATGCTGGGCCTGCTGTGGGACTAGTTTGTTGCAGGATTGATATCAGGCTGCTAACTCTTTCCTGCTGTGGAAACACTGTGAATGCTTTACTTTTCATGAAGTGGCCATATGGCATTTTTCCATTGTGTCACCCAGCTGGCATTACATGAAAGGAACTGTTACTGAAGATACTCTGCTTATGAGCTGTGTAATTTAAAGAATAGGGTAGGAACTTGGACTAAAATATTGAAAGCATATTGATTGCCGTAGGCAGCGAGCATTTCCATATTGTGCATTCCAAGTGACAGAGTCTGGTACTATATTGAAAAAAAAGCTACTTATTTTTTGCTAGGTTCTTTGGCTTTTATAACTCTTCAGAAAAGTGTTTAAAATTTCTTTCTTGAGTCTGCTGTCTGCATTTCTGGGAAGAGCTGAGCACTTAGAGCACTTCTTGTCTTAAGGAAAGTTGGTTTCCTATCACCTTGTCATAGTGATGCTTGAAAATAGATTTTGGTCTTTTACATGTAGACATACAGGGCAGATTTTATTTAGTTTTTATTGCTTCATCAAACATCCTAGGCTTACATTTGCTTTTTCTTGCCAAGCAGTATGTTTTCTTTAGTAACTCCTTAGCATCTTCAATAGGTGACTATCGACCATTAAGCAGAGAGCAAACTTGTCTCATAATGCAGCTAGAAGACACTGGAAGGCACAGGATTAAAAGCCTGCTATCTTTTATCTTTCTGGAAAACAACTTTGTCCCTGCAAAATGCTTAGTGATGTCCCAGAATTCCAAATGCTGGAGATAAAATAAGCACAAATTGAAACGGTCTGTCATCAGCAGAGCTTAACTTGTGAATTCCACTCTAATGTTTTAGGCAGTCATATGAAAAATAAATATTTTGAGAAGAAGAAAGTGTTGGAGGAGGGAAGCTTGGCAGAATTTCAGTGGGAAGAATTCTCAGATCCCACCTGCAGTTTTGTCGGAGTAATGTGGACAGTGGTTTTGACTTCATGCACGTAACAGCTGCCTTGCTGTAAAAGTAAAAACTGTGGTACATAAGGCAGCAATAAATCCTGGAGTTGGGCCTGCAGAGTTGCTGCTTTTTTTTTTTTAACAGCCAAGAGCCTAGTACAAGTATAGGTTTCCAATACAAATGAGTTTTTGATTTCTCACTGAAAAGGGATCTGCTGCTTAAGTCTTGTCTTCTAGCTAGCACTGTTTTGGTGAGGCAACTTACTAGATCTGCAACCATCAGATTCACTTCCTCGCCTTTCCCACTGGAGTATTCTTACTGCTGCTGGAACTTCTGAGCTTGGACATGTGAATTCTGATGAGCAAGGTCCAGTGACAATATTTAAAATAAACCCTGATTGTCCAGGTATGTTTCCATTCTATTTTGTCCACAATTGTAGAAAAAAGTCTCTTTTGAGAAATGGTTCCATACTAAATACACAGTCACATATATGCAGATCTTTTCAGTAAAGAAATCAAAACATTGTTGCATAGTCACTTTGAGATGATAATTGCACATTAAACTTCTCCAGTAGCTAGTGGCGAAGTGTCCTGACACTGCCAGTAATGGGTCATTGCTGCAGCTTTAGAGTGGGAAGATCCATTTGGAGCATGAGAAGAGTGGCAGAAAGGTTACTCCTCTTATGATGGCTTCTAAGTCTCCCGATCTCCAGCTATGGTAGGTAATCATATCTCGTAATCCTGTTAAATGAACTGAGTTTCATTTTAAATGACAGACTGTTCAATCTCATGATTCTAATTGGGGAAAAAAAAAAAAAGCCCGGGGGAGTAACACTTTCTGCTAAGAATCTTCCTCAGTTTTTACATTCAATTGATACGTTTCAACTTGCAATATTTACATCCCTGTGCTATTGTTTAGCTTCAGTTGCTCCTCAACGTCCTTGATTTCTTAATTCCTGATCGGTTAGGGATAATCATGTTCTTTGCTAGTCTCCTCTGTTGTATTCGGAGGGAATGCGTCGTACTTTTTTCATCAGCTGCTTGAGCTTTTTGGACTAGAATGTCCCACTTCCAACACATCTCACTTTGTTTCAGCTCCTTTTATCTTCTCACTTCTCTTCCCATGGAACTCGGAAGTCTCCAAGCTTAGCCATACCCCATTCTTTTTGAGAAAACTGTTGTCTGAAGGAAACGGGAGACTTCTAAGGTCATTAGGCCTAGATAATTAGAGAGTCTTTCTTGGGGAATTTCTGCACATGTGCAGTCATCAAATTAAAAAGCAGTATTGCTATTAAGAGGCAGATGGGATTGCATGGTTTCTAACTGTAAATATCCCCGTGTGGCCTCAAAATCGGAGCCATCTCCAGGTATCTAGGGCACAATGCTGAGATTGCCATGTAGCAGAAAGTGCTTAAGTGTTCTTCCCAGGGTACCCTTGAAGAAAGTTTTCAGTGTGTCCTCAGTGCCTGCTACCTGTTGTACTCTTCTGCTAGGGGAAGGTATTCTTCCGGTCAGAGCTTAGAGTAGGTCTCTGCAAGCAAAGTTGGCGGTAGCTGCAGTTGCACATTGGACTTGTGCTGAAGACAAGGATTTGTTTTGGTTTTGTTTACTCAGGGTTGTTATAACAGAATACCTTCCCCTGTTCCATAAAAGCTTGTTTTAGCAGTAGGTGGAAATTGTGTACAAATCTTCAAAGTGCAGGAAAACACAGATCAGCGTTGTTAAAGGCTGAGTGGACATCTCTGACACGGGTGCTGTCTGCTCAGAGGAAACCCCAGTAGCTTCTAATTGCTGAAGATGCTCTGTGGTTCAGCCCCGCAGATTAGAGGTGATTTTTGTTGTGCATAAATCAGTGGAAGCCTGGCATCAGTAAGCTTGCAGGCTTGTCTCTGCATTTGGGGTGCCCTGTCTGGCTTATTTTCCTGGAAATCTCTGTTCTGAGCAAAAGCAGAGCAATTTGTGTCGGAGTTCTGTTGTCTCTTGTCTGATACCAGCTGCTGGTTTGTGGGGATAACTGACATCACCTGTACTTAAAAACTTCCATTGCTTAACAGTACACTGCAGCTGAGGAAAGGGCAAGATATCTGTTTGTCCCAGATATTTTTGAATGCCCTATTTCAGCGGGAAACTTGATGTTTTGGTATTTGAAAAGCCCTCCAAACGTCCCCAGTGGCTTTGAAATGATGCCACATTTTGGAGGTTTGGATTCATGCCTCCAGTTATTTTTGAAAAGAACAGGAACCTAAAAATAACCATGTGTACTTTTCCAGGCAGAAACGACTGGTTTTTGCGAGCCAAGTGTTTGCATGGAGGCTGCTGGAATGAGGCATTCTCTGTGTGAATTTATGGCTTTGTGTAGCCGGTCAGACAGAGCGTTACCAGAGAGACTCCCAGCCCAGCGCTGGGGCGAGAATGGAGCCCTCCTCCGCAGCACAGGGGCTTGACCTTCATAAACTGTTGCTCTGCTACGTGATGAATGCAAACCCGCTGGAGTGTACCTCTTGTTGCTTCCCCCGGGCGCTGACCTGCTGGGTTTTCTTTGAGTTACAGGCAGAGTTACAGGAATCAGATGCCGTTGAGCGTATTTCTGCAGTCTCCGTAGAGCAAATTTATCTGTTTGAAAAACCTGAATAAAAACCTGTTTTTGCTTCTAAACTTAGAAGCAATGCAGGCTGGCAGCTCTCTGAAGCGGATTTCACTGAGCTAATTATCCTTTTAGATAAAGCACGTCTCCTGCATTGTCTAATCAGATGAAAATATCTGCATTACAGATGGTCCATCTTCCATTCATTATTCACTAAGGAGATTAAGTTTCGCAGAGAGAGGAGGAACACGATGGGGGTGGGGACAGTGGTGGGAATAGATTGAGTGCATCCCCAAAGCTGCCATTGCCGCTGTGCCCGGGCATGCCACCTTCTCGCTACGTGACTGTAATGGACCTTGTTCTTCTACTGGTTTAGCTACTGCAGCCCTTGGCCAGGAGTTGGCTAGCTGGAGTTTCCTTACTGGTTCTTGTTTTGCTCTCAAAATTATTGTAAACCCCAGAGTTGACTGGGATTTTGGGTGGATTTTGTTGGATTCCCTGTGTCACTTGATGGCGAAGGCCCTATTAGCCTTATTTTAGGCCATCATTTCTTGATCATTGCTCCCCAAGTACAGTAGGTGAAGAAACTGGTCGTTAAGAGTAGTCAATCGGGTAGCTCTTGTGCTCTGTTCTGAAACCACTCATCCAGGAATCACTGTCTTGCTTCCAGAGGGGAAAAAATAACCCAATTTTCTCCCAACCACTGTTGACCAGCTGGGTATTTCCGTACTCCAGTATTTTTCCTGGTGAGATTTTCCCTCAGCTATTGGCTAAGTATGAGCTAGGGTACCATTACAATACAAAAATAGACAGGTTTAAACAGGGCTGCGGTTCATTTGAATTGTAACGTGGCTGTATCTTGCAAAAGTAGACGGGGGGGGAAAAGCATTCAGCCTCCATTGTGCTGTTATATCGGGTTAAGCCATGGAGATCTTGGTTATAACTGCACTCTTCCTGACCACATAGGCATGGCAAATGTATAGTGTAACTGGATCCAAATAAATTATAACGGCCACTTGGGTTAGATTTCAAGACCTTTATATGAAGCTTAGTATTCCAAAACGCTTTCATGCTACACTGGTTCTTTGTTCTCTTGCTAGACTATGGCTTTATAATCATGCTTCCTTATTTCTCAGATGTTTTTTCTTTCTCCTCTTAGTGTATGAAAACCTCATGTAGACATTAGAAACTGATTGTGTGGCATGGGGGACTGCAATATAGAAGCTGACTTGCAAAAATTGTTCTAAAATAAATATAGTTGCCTTGCATGTGGGTTTTCTTCTGCTGTGTCTTGGTTACTCAACGATGAAACTACAAGAACAGAAAAGACTTTGAGACAAAATTATCTCTTAAAAATAACGTAGAGATGGTCTCCATTCACAAACAGAGCATATAGAGCCCCAGGAAAAAAAATGTTTCAGTGTATCAGGTGAGAAAAACTCAATACTCTTTAAAACTGTTCTGATGTTGCATTGAGTTTCTGCTTTAGAGTTTGAAAATATCTAGTAGTATGTTGTTAGGTTGGATCGCTCAGAGTTCAGTCTCCAGCATACGCTTTGTTTTTACTATTGTGGGGATATCAAAACATACATCCCCTCCCAGCAGGTGTGAGAGAACAGGTAGCAATTCTGGTTTGAAATCTTATTTCAGCCTAGCTGTTTGACGGAACAGATAATTCTAACTTCAGTTACTCTAACCTGCTGATTTCAGCATGTTTAGTTTATGATACTTAAGGCTCTTTGCAAAGTTCTTGATCTTTTGCCCAAGAACCCTTGATGCTCCCCCCTCAGCCACAGTGTGTAGCAGCAGGGATTTGGACTTCTTTATTGGTGTTTTGGGGTTTTTTTTCTTTTTTTTTTCTCTTTTCTTCCTAAGAAGCATACCCATTCCTGTTGGCAATTGTGACTTTGTCCTTCACAGTGGCTCAGGCGGGTTTATGTCCGTTTGCCATCCCTTCTGTGGCTCTGAGTGGTGTGAGGCTGCCCTGTTGGGAAGAGAAGGCTATGGTGGAAGGCACCAGGCTCCGGTGCTTCACCGAGACAGACATCCTGGCTTAGTGAGCGAGGTTTGGAAGTAGCTTGAGTGTGTCTGCATTGCAGTGCAGGCACTTCTGTTTGAGTTGTCACTAAACGAGAATAAGTGCTGGCATGTGAAATGCTCTTTTATTTCCATACAAAGGAATATATGCAGAAAAAGGATGCTAAGCAGTCACTGTCATTGCTTTGATGTTCCTGAGGTTCTGATATAAGCCATCATCCTACTTGCCCCTTCAAAGTGTGTCATCATCATCATTAATTATATAGTTGCATATTATTTTTTCTCTCTTCCTCCCCCAACCCTCCTTCTGCCTTAGTGGTGGCACAGCAAAACAGCATGGCCCATAGGTTCCTCTCTCATTTCAAAAGCATGACTGAGAAAACGTTAATCTGTGGAAAAGCTATGGAGTTGTGGGTGTTAGCCTGGGACTGGATGTGGTTTCATCAGAAAAGTACTACATAAGCCACTCAAGTCATAACTATACTATTTTCAAATAAGGCCTCTATGTTCCGTGATTTCCAACTTCAAAGTGTTATAAGCATTCAAGATCTATATTTAGTACCACTGAAAAATCAGATGCTTGTCTGTCGCTACAAGAGCCTGAATTACGAGCCAGTGTTTCCAGCCAGTGCTGTGCTGAATTTCTTTGCCCTGGTTCCCCTCTGCTGAGAGGGGCTGACTGAACCATGGGGGTCAGTGGGGACTTGAGGAGGCATTTGCTGATCGTTTCTGGTTTGGGTGCTGTACGGCATTACTGGCTTCTCCATGGAGCACAGCCTTCATAGGCATCGGTCACACTTGGGGAGCCTTCCCCATTCATCCAGTGGTGGGAGCAGAGAGAGGGGCACCTCCGGGAGCAGGGCATGGGCAGAGCCAGCTGGTGACCTCTGGGTGCTTCATCTCCTGGGTATTCCTCAAGACTTCGTGGGTGGTGCAGTACATTTGGCCTTCTCAGAAGGAAAAGGGATATGGAGCAGAAAGGAACAATGTTAACTCCTGTGTGTGTGTTTTTGTGTTCTTTGTCTTTTTTTAAGCTGGAAAGAGGTGACTTCCTCTCAGAAGAATGGAGAGAGAGAATTGCAAACACAAGGTACAGTACAGCAATTGAATGTTGCTTTATGAACTGAATATTTGGGAGTTTGTATAATGGAAATTGGGAGGCTGGCCAGCTATAGAATTTCCATAGCAAATACCAAAAGCCTGCCTGCCAACTTATACTGGCCTCTTTTCTGACAAGAAGAATGGGTTTAAGTGCATGTCCCATGATATTACATACAAGGGTGTATCCAAGATAAATTCTGGTTATACAGAGGTATAAACCTCTGTTCTGCATATCCTTGTAGTTTGTGTCAGTGATTCTGGCAAAACACTAGTTATTTTGGCTATTGGTGTACTCAGCTAGGCTCGCTTTGCATTTAAAAAAAGCAAAAGACCCAAGTGAGTCTGTTCCAACTTAAATTGGGAATTCATTTAAGCTGTTTGTCTTGAAGATTTATTTCTGTGAAGATCTGTACAGAGGGTTAGATTCCTTTTTGATGGTAGCAAAGAGGGAGTAAATTTGTTAAAAGCAATAAAATATTCTGTATTTTTAAAGGCTTTGCATTCTTTCAGCCTTATGGAGAGAAAAAAAGTCTGTATTTTGTATGACCTTCTGGGCCACCCTGTTATGTGGGGGAGTGGAAGGCAGTTGTCAGAGGGCTCTCTGAAAGTCTTCAGTGTTGTGGCAATTTATGGATTCCTTCCAAGTCACTGTTTTAAGAGTACTCCATCAAGAAAGCATGTGCCAGGTTGCTGACTTTTGCATTATTATGTACCTCAGTTAAACTTCTGGAGGTGCCTTGTAATTTGTGGACAGACTTGTCCACAGCATAGCGGGGTTTTGCTTTGTTGCTTGCTATTCCAAATGCATGCTCCTCTGTTGTTTGTGCAACTTTCCTTGGAACAAATTTATTTTTTTTTTTAAACTGAAGTACCTCTAACTGCATGCAGAAATGCTGGTAGATATTTATTTTGTATGGTATGCAGCTAATTGTATGCTGACTGATCCACAGCCACTTTGCTCTGATACAGAAATTCAAAAAGAAGCAGCTTTTTGCTCACAACCGTTAGTTGTTTGTTCTGAGCGTGCCAACTGTTCAGCGTCTGCTCTCTCTAATGAGACTGCAGATTGGCTGATGATTTCACCTTGGAGCCATCCGGTCTTAGCGAGTAAGTTGAAGTGTCACCCTTCCCGTGAGCTCCCAGGCTCTGGAGGGAGGGGTGGGTTTGTACCAGAACAGGGTTCTACGTGCTCGAGTGCTGACATGTCAGCGAGCTGTGCAGCACGCAGTATTCCCGTTAATAACTGTACTTGTGGCTCCGCAATACGTGCTGAGAAGAAGGCTGAAGTCAAGGTGGACTGGGGGCTTCTGTGCTTCGGTCACGTGCGTGCAAAATATTGTGCCAAAATGAACACTAAAAAAAATATATATCTGGCGAGCTATGTCTTTTTCCTTTCCTTTCCTGGATGTTTTCTAGTCCCATTAATATGCTTGGCTCTTTTGCAAGGCCTCTTTTTTGGCACATGGGGAGGAGGAGGAAGAAACCCCTGCTAGCCTTACTTGCCAGACAGGGTTTCCCAAATTTCTAAGAGCAAGGCATAGCAAGAATAACTTTTTTTTCCTCCTTGGTGTATAAACATTTTTTTTTTCATCCATGAGTTTTAATAGCTTTGGCTGCTGCTCTTAAACTCAGTGTCCTTGTTGAACACGTTTAATGTGCGGAGGCACTAGGAGGGGAGTTTTCAAACAGATCTCTTGCAAAGAAATCAGTTCTCCATCTCAATACAACATGCCAGGCTGGCCTTCACAGTTTGTGTGTGCAGGGTGCTCGATGGCTCCTGGGAGATGTTGAGGACTCTTGTTACGAGCTGGTAGGAAACAGGCACCAGGGACAGTTAGACCAGGCCCAGGCTCTTAAAAATAAAGGGCTATTTCTTTTTTAATCTGTGTTCTGTTTCTTTCCCAAATATTTTTGTCATTTGTGTGATTCTACCTGTGTGCAGGTTTCTTTCTTTCCATCTGACTGTTGTTTTTTCAGCAATAAACCCCCCTCATTTGGTTTCCTAACCCAGAAAGAAAGATGCAAACCCTCCATTGTGGGTTAGGGTGAAGTGCTGGGTTCTGGACAGGGAAAACGTGCTGAGAGATGTCAACTGCCTTTTTGTGTTACAGGGAAATTTAGAGCTAGAAGAGAAAATATATTTTGGTATTTTGCTATAATATTTTTAAATGCTTGTGAAGAAGTAATGGGACGTGAAATGTGTGTGCCGGAGTATTGTTTTTCATGTGTGGATTAACTACTGTGTGTTGGTAGTTGCTGTGTTGGTGTTTGATCTCACCATGGCAGGGGGGTGAAAACATTTTGCGCATTGTTTTTATGTTGAAACTTCAGGTGTAAAACTCAGCTGTATGCTGAGAGCAACTGCCAGAGCAGGACACCTTTTAAAATTATTTAAATGTAATTCTGTGGGCAGTGTCTGTGAATGCTAAAGTAAGGTAATGTTTTGTGTCACTATGCAAGAAGAAGGCGTTTTGTTAGATGGAAGTAGCTGTATAGTCAGGGGCAAGCGGTGTTTTTCAGTTTCACAAGTGGCTGGAAAGGCTGTTAAGTGACTGTGAGTTGTGGTTGTGGGGGTAGTTGTGTTTACTTGGGTGCCATTTGCCTGTCCCTCTTGATTAACTAGTCCATTATCTTGCAGTGTTATTTTTGTGAATAACTTTGCCTTTGGTCCTGAGGTGGATCACCAACTGAAGGAGCGATTTGCGAACATGAAGGAAGGTAACAAATCGAACTTAAAACCTTTTTCCATTGGTTTCCTGCTTACTGAGGGAGCTGGTGGTGGTAAGGGCTTAGCAACAGCCGTCAGAAGCCAGGTTGGTGGGTTTGGTTCTGTGCCTTCCAGGCAAGCGCCTGCACCGCAGTGGTTATTTCCTGGGCTTTTTACTTCCCTTCTTAACATCTACTCTGACCTACCTGATTACTTGGAGGTAGGTCTGTGTGTGAACACTCTCTGTGGGGTAGGAGGAACTACTAATTTCTTACCTGGTATGGGAGCTGACAAAACATGCAACGGCCAAGACTGGAAAGCTTCCTGGCTGCATAGGCATGGCTTTGTATATCCAGTTTCTGTAACCACATGCTGAATTCAGTTACTGGATTCTCCTATGTAAAGTTGGAACGTTTAGTACTGGATATTGACTAATAAGTATTAAAATGGGGATGCTGTCACTGGACATCTTGTGTGCTTCTTGAGAAGTCGCATTGCAGACGCTAGTGACTGGGGATGTCCTGTGCCCGCTGTGGCCCTTGCATTGCCCGAGATGTCTTTGTCTTTCCTCTTAACCACTTGGATAAGTGACGATTTTATTTGGTTATGGTAGAAATTACAAAAATAAGTATTTCTGAAAAGAAAAATGTGTGGAATGAACAAAGAAGCTGTGGCTTCCCATTGTACAGCTTTGTGCTGAATAATGTGACTTTTGGGCTCTGATGCAAACCGTAAAACCGCCAAATTTAAACTGTCGTCTTTAATTTTAGTGGTTGATTTTTTTTTTTTTTAATCTTGTGTTTAGTGGTGGCTTGAGAGAAGTGGCAAGGTAGGAATGAAGAAACCAGAGTTCCTTTCCCAGAAGGTGCTCAGGCTCTGTGCCTTGGGCTAAATGACCACAAATAGCTGTGGAGATTAGTGTCTTTGTAAATAAAAGGGCTTTGGGGGCTTGTGTATAAAAGATACTAACTAGGAATGATGAGATAGTGGTGTTCCTAATTTAAAATTCTATAGATTGCCACTGAAAATTAATGTGCTCTTTTTTAAAGTGTTTTAAGATCTATCATTTTAAAGTGATCCTTGAGGTGTCACCTCATAGCTAGTGGGATGAATATATTGGCTTTCTTGGATGCTGTCAGAATAAACTTTGTAAAGTAATTTTTTGTTTTGGTAATGATATACAAGTGATAGTGTTCGTTAGGGCTGCTCTTTAGGGTTCTGTACTGGGTTATATTTAATAAGTAGTCATTTCTAGAAGAAACAGTGGTAGCTGATTTTGCTTTTTTTTTTTTCTTTCTTTTTTCCAGGTGGGAGAATTGTGTCCTCAAAACCTTTTGCACCTCTAAATTTTAGAATTAACAGTCGAAACTTGAGTGGTATGATTGCCCTTTTTATTGCTTATTACAATTATGATGTATGCATTATCTGAACAAGTCTGTAGTGGAGTTTTGTTGCTCTTCAAAGAGTTGTATAAATAACTAGAAAAATGCTGTTATATTATTCTAGCATACATGCCAAACTGACATGTATTTAAAATCAAACAAAGCAAAAAACTCCACCCAGCACTGGAACAAGCAGACACTCTTTTCATGGGGTTCATCCTGCTGTGTTTAGATGTCTATAATGTCAGTGTTTCCCTGACTGGGCATCTTTGAGTTGAAGAGAAGTCAGGTGTTTCAAGGACGTGATTAATTTCTTCAACTACAAGGAGCTGCAGTGACTAACTTGTGTGCAGGTTCCTTATATCATAGCTGTCTAAATTTGGACAGGTAAATCCTACCAGTCATGATTTGTAAGGCTTAGAAGCTGAAATATTCAACTTTGCCTAGTCTTCTGGACTGTAAATTGATCAGACAGACCCATTCCATAAATGTCCAGTTGCTGTGTCTGTTTTCTTGCCAACAAAATTTTGTGGTTTTCTTCTCTTGTGAACATCATAGACTTGTATTTGCCAGTGTTGTTCTTTGCAAGTGTGGGAACTGCAGTTTAATGAGGTTTTGAGATTGCTAATTGTTGAATTTTTTCAAGCAAAAGAATGATCCAAGCTGGGTTTTACATGTATTTATGGTGTCCAGTGCAAAACACTCCCTAAATTTAAAAACCACCTTACTCCCCTCTCCTCATGCTAACATGGCAAGTAACGTACTGAGTTACAAATCTCAAGCTGTGTTTTCTATTTTTGACCTGATACTCATGGTAAACTGCTTTTCAAGAACAGTAATTTGAAGACTGTCATTAAGGCATTTCACTGAAATAGTACCATTGCAAGTTATTTTTACTAAGCTTGAATTGTTGTCAATGTCCTGCGCATCGGACACCCAAACGTGCTGTTTTCCTTCCTGTTTGATATTCTTTTCTGTGGCCTCTGATTATTTGGAACCTTATTAACCGTTGGGTCCTGGTTCGCCAATCCTTTCTAGACATGTACGTGAAAATAAAAGGGGAAAAAAAAAAAAGCAGAATGGTACTCCTGGAAATTCTCAAACCTCCAGACAGCTGAGATCAGTCTGTCAGTTTGCTAATAAGACAAAGAGCACCTAAGTAAAGCCTACTTACAGCACGCTAGAACTAGATGAAATACAAGAAGGCGCTTCTGAGGTTTCAATTAGGAGACTTCCCTATGTAAATAATTTTTTTTTGGCCTCTCAAGCCTTTTCTTTCCTGGCTTCTGACCATTTCGTTATCTCTGTTTGCTAGGTTTGGGAGACTGCAGTTATTGAAAAAGTGATGGGGAGGCAAAGGGCCCCCCCTACATTTTTCCCCTCATGAAAGCCCTGATTCTGACTATCAGTTGAGCCAGTTCTTTATCCTGTTTCAGCCTTCACACCAGCATGGATTCAGTGGGAATAGTTTTCTGCAATGCCGAAGTTTTCTATATCAACTGTTATTTAATGCTTAAGGCAAATATTCATGTTAAAGTTACATAGAGATAGCTAATTAAGATTTGGGTGAATGAGATTGCTTAGCATAAGAATAGATAATAGCTTCCACTAATAGGAAACTCTTCCAGGGATTCAGATAAGAGGTCCTGAAAGAAAATTACCTTTGTACGCTACAGACAGTGAGGGAAAACTGTGGAAGTCCCATTCTATGACCATACTGTATTTGGGAAATACCAGTATCAAATGATCATGCATGGGACGTGCTAGGCCTGGGGCTTGTTCTGGTCTTAATGGCCCATTCTAAGCAACACTTCCAGGGAAATGTCATCCACTTAGAGCTCATGGCATCAAATGTGGCCAGTCTCCTTTATGCTGCTGCCCTACAAGGTTTTTCATAATCCTTTTATTCTGCAGGTTTTGATTTTTTTTTGGGGGGGTGCCTGAGTATGATTTGAGTCACGTGGCATGCCTGTCTATCTAATGTTTTGATCTCAAGTATGAACAGTTAAATAATTTAAAAAAATAGAGTGGAAAAGATAAAGCTTTTAGAAGGAGGTGACTTTTTCTCAATACCATTTTTGTCCTTAGTAGTGCCGTCTGAAAAAAGAAATGGAAATGTGGAAAGAGTTGAGACAAATTAAGACAAGTATTAAAATGTGGTTAAAATGGTGGTTGAAGTTGCTGAATCCTAAACCTTGCTTTTTGACTCTTCTGGGTAATTTTTTATTTAATTAGAACTGTGCCATAATTTCATCTGCAGTCATCCCACTCAGTGTTCAGTGGTTATGGAAATGCTCAGACACATCCCATACCTATTAATTCTAGGGAACAAAACAAATATAGGCAAGAAAGCAAATACAACACATGTTTGTCCCCAGTCCAGATATAGTGCAGTTACAGTTTACCCGGGTTGGATCTAATGACGTTCTGTTACTGGTTCTGTCTAATTAAATCCTGCCTGTTACTGCAGATGTGTTGTCACTGGGTTCCTCATAAAAGTTGTCTGAGACACAGGAAAGTCCCGTTTGTTAAAAACTTGCACTAGCATGTTATTTTACTTTAGAATGGCTGACTATCTCTGAAGAAATGAAAGGTAGATCTTTCACATTTCTTAAGTTTTCTGTAGGGTGCATGTAGCAAGAGAACAAGAAATTGCTTTTTAACCTCACTGCAGTGCTTTCTTCTAGGATGTTGCTATCGGAATACAAAATTTATCATCTTGTTTTGAATGTGCCTTTACTGTTGCGTGGCCAGTTTCAGCCGGGTAGAACTGAGTGGCAAGCTGAGTGAGCTTTGGTTCCCTAACTTGACTTTCTTCCTTTAGATATTGGCACTATAATGAGAGTTGTGGAGCTATCACCACTGAAAGGGTCTGTGTCATGGACCGGGAAACCAGTTTCTTACTACCTGCATACTATTGACCGAACCATAGTGAGTATAAATACAGTAAATCGCTGGTCGCTTTACCTTCGGAACTTCAGTTCCTTGGTCTTGGGAATTGTTTTCTTGTTTGTTTGCATGTTACAGACCCGTAGCACAGCTAATCAGAATGGGTGCGCTTCCCCCGTTACCTGCTGGGTCTAGCTGAATGTGCGGATCGTACTGCATGGCTTAGCCACTGGCTGCTTCAGGGCAGCATCTCACACAAACTGTAATTATGGACAGCACTGTGGCAGTCTGTTAATTCGTTGAAGGTGCCTAGATTTACAAGTATAATTCCTTCTCATACTCCAGGATATGCAACTGTGCAGAATGATGGTCTTGTGCTATAGCTTCCACACTGACTAAAGACTCTGTGGGTCTTTAATTCTTCAGTTTGCTTTGTGGGGTACACACCATTTCATTCGATCCTATTCAAGCAGTAAATCTCCATTTTAGTTGAACTTTCAGTTGCTGTAGAACCAGCCAAAGCTCCATAACAATGCTGATGTATTCACTGTTGGTTTTTTTTCTTCCAGCTAAAGAAAACAGAAACAACCCTGTAGAAATGTAAACTTTTGTGGAGAAATAGTTTATTCCCACACTGAGTTTTTTGCAATATGATAGTAAGACTATTTTTCTAAGACTGCTGTAGTCTAATAATGCTTTTGTTAAAGAATATGCTAGAGTGCAGATAAATATTTTAGTGGAGTACAAGACTGAAGTAGCTTCATTGAAAATAACCTTCTGCTGAGTAGAGATATATGGCACAAAGCTTTAAAACAAGGATAGGCAGTGGTGAAGGTGATAAAACCTTGTTGAGGCTTGGATTAGGTCCTGCTACACAACGTGTCTGTGTAGCTAAAAAGAATGAATGTAAATGGCTTCTTGATGTAGCTTATCAGAAGAAAACCAGTCAGAATTTCTGCAGTTCCACGTTTGTCTTAAGCTAGTATTTTGTTCTGATGTATTCATCTACTGTGACTTTGAAAATGACTATCTTATCTTTCTATTTTCAGCTTGAAAACTATTTTTCTAGTCTCAAAAATCCAAAACTCAGGGTAAGTTTCAGTCATTTTCTGTAGAAAATCCAAAATAATGGAGCAGCCACTATAAGGAATTTAGTCACTTGTTAAAGATGTACAAAACTGATAGAAAATCAAATGTTCTTAATAAGCAGGGCACATGGGTGTGGAGCTAATTGAAGTGAAGCATGATATGCCATCAAGCACTAATACAATCATGTTCAAGAGCTTTGTAATAAGAGAATTAATGGGGCAGCCACAAGGTGTTTTTCCCTTTCATTGGATGTCTGTAAAGGGCTATTCGTTCAGTAAAGAACTGCAGCTAAAGGAGGAGATGATAGTTTGAATCTGTCCCGGTGTTCAGCTGCAGGAAAATGAAGCTGAAGAGCGCTCTGAGATGTTACTTTTGGGACATGCTATTTGAGACATGAAATGTGTTGTCAGTTGCTGCAGTCTGTGCTATCACATGTGGAATTAAAATGCCAGAGGATTTCTGAGACTGTGCTGGGCTGTATTAATCTGAAACAACTGATGGGACTGGTATTCCCAGTAAGAGAATTAAGTGAGGCTACTTAATTTAAAACTTGAGGTGAATGTTAGTCTTCAGAGTGACTTGCTTAGTAAGTGTTGAAAACAGACTAATGGTAGCTTTTGAGGTTGGGTTCTTTCGGACTGCTGAATTCAAGCTTGGGAGAAAAAAGACTTCTCAGAGTCAAAAGAAAAAAAAGCAGGGTGGTATCCAAGTATTTCTCTGCTTTTAATGATAAGACTATTTAAATCTGCCATTTATAGGATCTAGTTGATAACTTGCTTAAATTGAAGAGGTGTTGGAATTGCCAGAATTCTTGTGCAAATTAAACCTCACCTGGCAGGTACAAGAAAGGCTTTGAGTGAGGACTTTGAAATTTCCTGTCCTGCCTGCCTAGTAGAAAACCAAGCTTAAAAATTGCTTTTTTGTTTTTTAGTCTCCTCTACAGACTTGGCTAAAGTTGAATTAGATGATGATTAATGGCTTTGCCATTTCAAGTCATGTAAGATTTTGAGTGATGTAGCACACATTAAATGTTGAGGGTATAGGTAAAGCTATTGCAATATTTAATAATTATTTTTTTATTTAAAAAAAAAAAGCCCAAACCTGTAACACCAGTGTGTGATCTAGGGGGTGAGATTGGGAGGGGCAGAATAAGGGAAGAACTTGAAACTTAATCTCCTTTGCCCCGTGGCTGCGTGTTTGAAACCCATTATAGTAGGTAATGCAGTAAAAAAGGGTGGCTTGTACTTTATCTTCCTTTTCCCACTGAGTGTTGCCTGAGGCAGGGTAAGTTTTTTCCCTAGCTGCTGACAAAAGGGGTTTTTTATTTTTAATTAGGCGTTGTATGATAAGAGCACTTACACCTAGTGCTTGTGGAAGACTAAGCTGGGAAACACAGTGGTCTGTATTAAAAAATGATAAATATATGAGTAAATTAAGTCTTTTAAAACATTTGTCCAGGAGGAACAAGAGGCAGCTAGACGTCGTCAACAAAGAGAAAATAAGAGCAACACAACTACTCCAACGAAGGTTCAAGAAAACAAGGTGAACATCCTGCATTTTCGTAGAGTAAATGTGTTTTCTCTTCAGCTGTGCAGAAACTCCTACTCTGTGTCAGGCAAAGCCTGATGCTGTGGGAGGGGTGACTGTGTGTGTTTCTGAAAACGTAAACTGGTATAGCTGTTACTGTGGGCAAAAATATGATGGAGTGACTTAAAAACTGCACTTGAGAATTGCATTGCTAATTCTGGAAAAAAAGATACTGCGAGATGAATAGAATAGTTGGTTGTCCACCCTCGCTTACCTTCAGCACCAGCTTGCAGAGCTTTCCCTGACTCATAATCCATTGAATGGAGTTCAAAGTGTGCCGAGTCTCTTTTGCGAAGACTCATTTCCTTTCTCATTCCATTGCATAATACTGCTAGAAGTGCAGTGCACAAAAATATACAGTATTGAATGTACTTTGACTTTTTAATGAAATTCATTTGAAGAATATAGTCAATACAGGGTGAATAATCAGCTTTTCTTAGACAGCAGTCGCATATTTCCTTTTCTGTAATGAGCAAGTCCAGAAGAGAATAAGCACAACTCCTTAGGTGTTGGGGACAGCTCTTATCCCAAGTCTACTTCACTGGCAAGTTATTTAACTACAATGCATCAGTTTCCTTCCATAAAATTATTAATGTCTGCTAAAAGGGATGCTGCATATGTAGGTAGAAATGACTGAAGAGCTTTTGGCTTTTAAAAATCTCTTAGGATTCTGGTGCTGAAGAAGAAAAGGCTGCGGCAAATTCTGTTAAAAAGCCATCTCCCTCCAAAGCACGGAAGAAGAAGCTAAGTAAAAAAGGAAGGAAAATGGCAGGCAGGAAACGAGGACGCCCCAAGAAAATGAACACTGCAAATACAGAGCGCAAGACCAAGAAGAACCAAACTGCACTAGAACTTCTGCATGCTCAAACTGTTTCACAGACATCTTCATCCTCTCCTCAGGGTGAGTTCAAGGCTGGCAGTGGAAGAAGCTTCCCCCTGCCACATGAGCCTAGATAAGTATCTGGGGCTCTGAATGCACGCTTCGAGGTCATTCTTCCTTTATTGCTAGGCTTAGTTCAGTTTTGTGTCATAACTTCTCCCTTGCTGCCAAAGCAAAGCTCCCCTTGAGATGGTGGTTGAATCTGTAGGTGCTTGGCCAGAAGCTGGGGCCGAGCTGTGGCTGATAGCTTGTTGCTGCTGTTTGAAGGATAAATTGTAGATGTCCTTCCAAACGATGTGTTGCAGTGTGTTGATCTAGCTAAATTACTAGATCTCACATTGTAAATGACGTGCTTTCCAATGGTAAAGCTACTGTACTTTCCAGAATCACTAACTTTCATAATCTGAAAGGTGATCTTTGTTTCTCTCTTTAGATGCGTACAAGTCACCTCATAGTCCATATTACCAACTACCTCCTAAAGTGCAACGGCATTCATCTAACCAGCTACTGGTGACACCTACCCCACCTGCACTACAGAAGCTGCTAGGTAAGGCTGTAACGTTGTCTCTGGGTTTGGCCTGGGAACCTCTGCTTTGAGGTTTCTGAACAAATGGTAAATCAAAGGGCTACTAATAAACAGCTGCTGTGGAAAGCTGGATATTGAACGGGAGAGGGGGATAGCTTTTTCGCCATCTTCCCCCGCCTGCCCCACTTCTATGGCATCGCCACGAGGTCTCTTCTCTTGCTGCTGAAGTTGTCGTCTTGGTCTGCATTTGTTTTTTGACATTGTTTCAGCTCTCGTTTGGCACAAAAGGAAATAAGCTTGGGTTTAGCAGGAATCCAGAAGAACTTTAAATAGAAATGGCTAGTCAGAAATAACTTTTTAAATGAAACCATTCTCTTATTCTGAAATGATAGAGTCTCGGGAAATACCACTCCATTTTCTCTTCAAAACTTAGAGCAAAGTAAACGAGATGCTGCCTGAGTTTTTGAGGCCGCAAAGGTGGTGTGGTTGGAGAATATGCTCCATGTGCAAGAGGTGATGAAGGAAAAACTTGGAGGTTGTTTTTTTTGGGTCTTCTGGTTCCTTCCCCCATCCCTATTTCTGGCCTTTGGCATTGGGCATGAGCCAGTTTAGGATCATCTGGGAATCTGATGTAACGTTCCTGTCTATGTAGAACCAAGGGCATCTGTGATGTCCTTATCTCCCGCTCTCTTGCTGTGGTGTCTTACAGTTGTGACTGATTTCTTACTGTAGAGAAAAAAAAGAGAAAAAGAGTGAGTCAGAGGCATGTTTCATGTCGGAGGTGTGGTGGGTGGAATGACACTTGTCTGGAGTAAACCTTGCTGCAAAAGTCCGTATACCTTCTATTATGTGTTTTGGCTGCCTGTGGTTGCAGCAGACTGGACTTAATCATGTGGTTGGCTTTATGAGGAAAGGGCTCCAGCCAGCGGTGAGGGCTGGGGAGGAGGAAGGTTCCTTGCGTAATGGGAGACTGGAGATGGAAAGACAATGAGAAGCAAGTGCTCCTTGGAGGGTAGAGTAAATGTGGGTGTAGAGCTTGTCATCTGCACGGAGGTAGGAGGAGCACAGCAAGCCATGTCTTGTGAGCTGGGAGAATGAGTGCTCTGAGCTTAGGGCTGACTTTGGCTGTTACAGCTAATCTCTTCTATTATTTCTACTTACAGTGCATGAAAAGCTGTTCAACTCCTCTTTCATCAGGCAAATGCACCATTAGCACCCGTCATTCTTCTCTGTGTTTTTGAAGGCGTTGTCATGACTTCCATTGGGATACCTAATTTAACTAGCTGATGGATCCAAGAGTTCAGCTTGCATCAGAAGATGCATTTTGAACGTGCTCTAAATTGATCTTTAATGGTTTGGTCTGACTTAGTCCAAATACAAAGCAAGAGAAGAGCAAAGAGGGAAGAGGTGTCAGGGGAGCAAATAGGGGTAAACAGGAGCATTGCACTTTGCAATTTCTCTCACTTGCAATATATCATTTCCTTATTTATTTTGCAGACTCTTTTAAGATCCAGTACATGCAGTTCATGGCATACATGAAAACTCCACAGTATAAAGCAAGTCTGCAACAGTTACTGGAGCAGGAAAAGGTAGGTCTTGTTTTTAACATTTCTAAACACAATTGCCAGGCTACCAGACACCTTAGATGTAGGGGAAAAAATGCTGACGATGAGAATTGTGTACACTTACCACCAGTGCTGCACCAGGTGAATTATAAAGACTCTATCAGAGTAATTCGGCTGAATGACTGTACCTGGGGATTTTATTGCTAACTTGGTCAGTCTTTGTGTGCTTAAATTTCCCATCCACAAACTGGAAGAGATGCACCTCCTCTCTTCCCTCTGGTGCCCCTCCACCTGGTAAGCCTTACCTCAGTATTTCTGGTTTTTCCTCTATATTGACATGAAGCTGTGTGTACCAGGGCAGGAAGCTGATGTCTTGAAGCCTGTCCTTTTCTCCCATTTGGGATTGGCAGCTACTTTTCTTCTCTAAATGTCTCATGGGTCACAGGAGCAAGAGGTGGTGGTCAGCCTCTCCAGCAGTAGGTACTGCCCAAAAACATTCCTGCCCTCCACTTAGAGGGGGCTCCCCGCACAGATGCGAGCTGCTAGTCTAACTGCTTTTAGATAACTAAATTGTGCTTAATCTAGCTAAAGATTGTAGCAATTTTGAATGAGGACTCTTGAAAAACACACAGATGCTAATTCCGTGGAGCTGAATTTTCTGGTTTTTGATATTCTATACTTCCTCCCACTGTAGGAAAGCCTAAAGAAATTGAGTACTCTAGCATCAGGATGGCTCACTAAACTTGTACCAAATTGAAGTACGGGATTAAAAAACCTAACTGTCATCACTGACTTAAGAGACCTAATGAAGCATCCTTAGTCTTGATAATCTGATGTGTTAAGGTTACACTGGTGGGCAAAGTGTGAATTTACCAAATCGTGGGTTGAAATACATAGAAAGGTGAAGAAGATCCTGCAGCTGTGGTGTGGCATTTTTCTCTGCTATGGACCCATCTCCCCAGCAGAGGGAGAACATTTACCGGCCAAACACCTTTTCTTTTTGTATTGCTTTACCTCAATTATGAATAATTTAATGGCTTTATAAGTTAGTCTTGATGAGAGAGACTGTGCTTGCTACTTCTGTGGAGGGAGCTTTTCCTATAGGACTCAACAATAATCTTTAACTTCTGGCCAGTTCCAGCTTTTGGTAGCCCCCATGGAAGCTTTTTCCCTTTGCTCTGTGGCCTTAGTGTCAGCATAAAGCCGTAGTATTGTTTCATGGGGTTTTCCATAATGGGAACTCTTTTTTCCAGATGAGAGAGGCTAACTTGTGCCACCCTGCTTGTTACTGAGAATCAGTTGATGCTGATGTGGTGTTCACACAAACCTTTTTTCTACGGTTGTTTCCATTTGTTTTCACAGTCAAACAGCACTTTGAATTTTCAACTTTTTCCTGAAGCAGCATATTTTTCTGCTTGTTCTGTACTTGTCAGGAAAGTCAGCATAAAGTTACCGTATCTCCTTGCACAGAAAATAGCATGAAAAATGATAGTGTGCAAGTATTATGCTGTGCACTGAAAGTATAAATTGAGAGTGTGGAATAGTAATCACTTTGTGTTGTTGTCTGACAGCTGTTTCGTACTTTAAGACATTAAAATGAGGAATTTGGTATGAAAATAGTTTTTTAATGAAGTGTTATGCTGAGAGCAGTAACACAAAAGCAGCAGCAGAACTTTGCTGGATGAGGTGCTATTGTATAGTCTATTTAATAACTCCTTTTTACATGAAGGTTTTTCAAGTACAAGAAAAATGTTTCTGGAATAAGATTTTAAAATAAACAAGATGCTGGGAGCTGCTAGTTCACCAGATTACCCTTAGATGGAGCTGTCAGCTCCTCCACAGCTTGTAAAGGCTGAATGAAATGACTGATGTTGAAAGCATAAATGATATTTTCAACATCACCTATGGCAGTCCTTTTAGCATTGCAGTGACTCAACTGTTTTCTCAAGCTGTTGGCGTGAGAGCCCACAAGAGCCGTGTGCCAGGTCCTGTGTTTTCTCACACACGAGGAACTTGTGAGTGCTGCTGCTTCACTTCACAAATGGATTTCTTGGAAGATCAAGGTGCTTTTCGCCCTTGTCTCCACTTTTTCTGGGGTGGTGGGTCAGTTTCTGCACAATTCCTGTTTGACCTCAGCAGCAAAAGTTGCAGAAAAGCATCATCTCCAGAGCGCACTCTTCTTGCTGTGCTCGTCTTTCAGTTGGGAACTGAATAAATGGGATTCTTTGGCCAGTCCTATCCTTGCCCTTTGCTCACATAGTGCACGACCACAAAATGAGTAAGCGCTATCTAGATAAGGAGTGTTATGGGCAGGAAACGTTCTGCGAGCGGAAGGGTCGGGTGGCCCACCGAAGTAATTTTGGCAATAGAAATACAAGTGGTTTGGCTTATCTATGACTTTCTTCCTACCTCCCCCACAGTGTATTTTCATTTACTGTGTGTCTTCCATAAGTGTTGTGTAGGAAAACTCTGAATTGAGACTCTGGAGATTTAGATTCTGCTCCCAGTTTAGTAACAAATTTAATACAGATAATCTTTTCCAGTTCCATTTCTGCTCTGTAGGATGTGATTATTATTACTTCTTTACAATGCACTAGTGGAAAAAAAACCTAATTTTTAAGACTGTCCTGGTTATATTTTAGCATATAGCAGAAAAAATCCCTACTTAAAAGCTCTTTTCAGCTTACTTGTCTTCGTCAAGTGTTGAACCCTAACAAATACAGACTCCCAGAAGTCTGAGACAGAGCTGGAGTAGTTCATACATCTCCCCTCCGAGCTCACGTTCCCTCCCACCTTGCTATACAAACTAGTTGTAAACATCTCGCTAAGATGGACTGTGCTGCAGTTAGTGCTAAAAGTGTGTTTTCTCACTCTTCCCTCTTCCAGGAAAAGAATGCTCAGTTACTGGGCACAGCACAGCAGTTATTCACCCACTGCCAGGCACAGAAAGAGGAAATCAAACGGCTTTTTCAGCAGAAACTTGATGAGGTAGCCCTGATCTGGTGGAAGCGGATGCTTGTTAGTTGTCTGCATGCAAACATTTTTGATAAAAATAAGCAAGACCAGAGTAGTCTCAGGTCTTCAGCCTCTGTTTTGCAGTAGATCATGCTAAATAATGTGGAATCTGTATTGCTCTTTGGTTATGTTTTATCTTCTTTGTTGAGATTGTTGCATGCCACTCTGTGTCCAAGGGAAGGGGGTGACAGACCACGGACACTGGTATTTTAGTAAAGGGCACATCCCCTGCTGGTCGAACAAACTCTGTGTTGCCAATGCAAGTTCAGAAGTGTAGAGGGAAATGTGGCGGCTCTCTACAAAAATAGTTTTCTTCTGGCTGACAAGAAATTAAATGCCAGTTTTAAAGTTGAAATGCTGGAAGAGCAGCTCCACGTGAGGTATTTCTGACCTTCCTCGCTATCCCCTAGCAATGACAAAGCGTCTTGGAGAATGCTGGGGGACTTCCTGTGAGCTGCCTAAGTTCTGCGGATCTCCTCAGTGTCACTTTTGAGCGTGACAGTCGTCTGCAATTGGGGTGTCAAGACCTTATTGAGTGATCTCTTTTGTTCTTGCTCTTCATCTTGTAGTTGGGAGTTAAAGCTCTAACGTACAATGACCTGATTCAGGCTCAGAAGGAAATCTCTGCTCACAATCAGCAACTGAAAGAACAGACGAAACAGCTGGAGAAGGATAACAGTGAACTCAGGAACCAGAGCTTACAGCTGGTGTGTACAACGCTTGTGTCTCAGTAGCGGGGTGATGCTCCCATTTATGTAAGGAGGACAGGTCATGAGCCGAGGGCTGCCCCTGTCTTTAAGGCATCTTAACAAATGAAAAATCATTGAGCTGCTATAGCTGCTCTGTAACAGAGAAGAATGATGGGGGAAAGGGTGCAGGTGATCCTTTTCTTGGTGACCTGTATGTACCTCTAACCAAATGCCGAGGTAACAGTTGGGTCTGGCCTCAGCTGCATCCTGTAAACAGCTTTGCACCTATACGTGCACTTGTCACTGAATCTGGACCTGCCACGTTATGTGGGGACCACAGGACCATTTTGGCTTAAGCTGAGAGGAGTTTTCAATGGGCTGAGAAGCTTCTTGCATCTATCTGGCTGGAAGGTGCATGGCTTTCAGCTTGCACCTCGGGTGAAGTGGTGAAAGTTCTCTTTTCATCTGTTTATCCCATGTCTTTGCAGCTTAAGGCACGGTGTGAAGAACTGAAGCTGGATTGGTCAACACTGTCACTGGAGAACTTGCTGAAAGAGAAGCAGGCGTTGAAGAATCAGATTTCTGAGAAACAAAAGCACTGTTTGGAATTGCAGGTAGAGGGCAAGAAACAAATCTGGAGTTGCCAACTTGGGGTACCTCTTGGGCAATTGGCCTAAGGGTATTTGACTACATATGGTGTTAAAGGATAAGCTAGGTGGCTGCTTTTCTTTTTCTTTCTTTTTCTTTTTTCTTCTTTTTTTTTCCTTACTTTTTCCGCCCCCTCCAGAGATTAGTCTTTCTCGTAGAGGGTTTTAATAAACCTAAAGAATAAGGATGTGGGTAACTCGTAAAGGAAGTAGATGCTATGACCTACTTCCTTGGTAATGCTGTGGAAAAAGGAATCATGGTTTACCATTAAATGTAATTAGAAAGCATGATCTGATGAAAAGAAAGGTCCTGCTTGTTTGCATGTGTGCTCTGACATCTCAATTCAGGAATCAGTTCCCACAGAATGTCACTTGCAATAGTGAAAAGAAATTAAACTCCTGTGACTGAAGAACTTTGCTCTCCTTGTGAGATCAGCTCTAAAGCTAATCCAGCCTTCTGCTGGATGCCTTGACACACAGTGACTGTTTCCTTCGATGACTAGCAGTATTGAGTTACTCCGTACTCTATATAAGTTGGAGATACACTATTGCTTTTAAGATCTGAAAAGTGCTTTCTAAGAGTCTGAGCCATTCGCCTTACCTGTGCCTTTTGGTCTCAAGCTCAGAGCAGCATGTTGAAATTTGTTTCTCAAATTTTGGGTCAATTGTTCTGCATTGTTCCCAGAAATGGGGCCGCTTTTCCTGAGAAGCCTATCGAGGCAAAACTCCATCATGTGATAGAATTGTTAAGTGTGGTCTTTAATCATTGTCCTCCTCTTCCATTTAAAGATCAGCATTGTGGAACTTGAGAAAAGTCAAAGACAGCAGGAGCTCATGCAGCTGAAATCGTACACGCCGTCTGATGAGTCACTGTCAGTACAGCTACGCAATAAAAACCATTTGAGCCGTGATCCTGAGGCTGATCACGGCAGGTTCCAACTGGAGCTTGAATGCTCTAAGTTTCCTATGCCCCACATCAATGGCATGAGCCCTGAACTGTCCATGAACGGCCATGCTACTCCCTATGAAATCCATAACGCCTTTAGCAGGCCCTCTTCCAAGCAGAACACCCCGCAGTACACGACCTCTCACCTGGACCAAGAAATAGTTCCGTGTACCCCAAACCACAGCAGCAGACAGAAGGCAGACAAGACGACAAGCTTGTCCTTACCTGATTATACCAGGTTTTCCCCAGCTAAAATAGCACTAAGGAGACACTTGAATCAAGACCATGCAGTCAATGGAAAAGCAACAACTAATGAGATACAGAGGTGAGAGTGATCATTTCCTAGTCTGGGAAAGGAGGGGTAATACTATTGCTTGTTTTAATAACGGTGGTTTATTTGGATTGTGGAAAAATATTTTTAAAAGTGGAATTTTATACACTTTAAAAAGTTTTGTTTCAAGAAAACCAGCAGTGGCAGCTGATTTGGTAAATAAGCTGGTACAGTGCCTTGAGTTTGGAACAGGAATTCCTTGCTAAAGAAAAGTCATTAGCTTTTGTATTCTAACGATTGTACCTCTATGTTCCAGAGCTGACCATGTCAAAGAGAATGGCCTTACATATCCAAGCCCCGGTATTTCAAATGGCATAAAGCTGAGTCCTCAGGAAACTCGGCCCTCTTCCCCAGCGGCCTTACCAATTGCAGGCGAGAAGGTAAGAGATCTGCTCGTGCTGGTAGAACAAAGAAAAAGTTTGCCAAACTAGGAAATGCAGGCATGCTCCTTTCTGTGGTCAGCTTGGCATGGAAAACAACACGAAATACAGCTGGTGTGATACAATAAAAAAGAGCTGGCTAGGGGAAGAGAATACTGTGCTCGTGAAAGACATGCTTACCTCTTACGGTTTGTATATGAACTGCACCAGCAAGGCAGCAGGACTTCTTTTTGGTCTGGTGCGTGTCTACTTGAACTTGAAAAGTAGACTCTCATAGCTAAAAATAACAAAAAATTGTCCATATAACTGGCCCAGCCATGAATCATACTGGTGCTTATTTCAGAGCAAGCAGGTGCCCTCCAATAGGAGGTTACCATGGAAATACTTCTGGCTACTACATCTTCTGTGTGCAAAGGGCCTCAAGATACGAATTCTGGCAGATGAGTGCTTTTCAGAGGGCTCTAACAAAGACACTAGGAAATGAGCTTGTCTAAGGCATCCTTTTCCTTACGCTTGGGGCCACAGTAGCTTTGATTTTCATATTTCTATGCTGTTGGATATGGTTTCCCAGTAGAGTGGTGTTGGTAGCAAAGCTGCTCCATACATGCCCTGTCTTTGTTATGCAGTCATCACTCTTTATTGTGTAATTAAAAAAAAAAAAAAAAGAGGGAGAGTGTGATGGTGACCACAAAATATAAATGAGTAGGCTACTATTAGTTTAAAAAGTCTTTTCAGTACTAGCATGCAGTTAGGAACATTATTTTCTCTTTTGCCTTTACAGGTTTTGAGAGAGAGAACTTCTGTGAGTAATGGAGAAACTATCACCAGCCTACCTATCAGTATTCCTCTCAGCACAGTGCAGCCCAATAAACTCCCTGTTAGTATCCCTCTGGCCAGCGTAGTCCTACCTAGCCGTGTTGAGAAGGTGGTGAGTAAGGGATTGTCAACACTTTCCGTCCCTAACTAAATTCACACTGGGCAGTAATGGGTGCTGTGCACCAGAATCCTTTGTGGGCTGCTAATATCGAATGTCTGATGCTTCGGGGGAGGCTGCTGTTGGGATGCATCCTCTTGGCTCTTAGTTGTTCTGTAGATGTTTCCTCTCCAGTGTCTGTGGGGTGGTGGCATTTCAGCCAGGAAGAAAAGTAAAATATATGCCTCGAGATCCTAGTCTTAAATGCCTGGCTGGGTGGAAAAGGCACCGAGTCTGAGAGTTTGTGGCAGTAAAAGCAGAGAATCACACATGTCAGTTTGTTCTTACCCTGTGCCTTCTTACATGGCCTTGGGAGATAAATTCTTCTGCCTCAGTTTGGTCATCTCAAAATCATCTATCTTTATCATATACATGTGTAGGATGAACTTGAATAGTGCCTTGAGGCTGTAGTCCCTAATGTGCGAGAGAGCAACTAGAGGAGTTCCGGGGCCATGTCCTTTTGAAACCCTGATAAGTCTGTGCTACTCTCAGTGGCAAAGGAGTTTAGAAAAGCCTGGTCCGGTTCCTCACAAAAGTTTGTCACAGAAGTGTAACGGTAGAGAACTGAGAAGCATTTGCTGCTTTTACATGAGAGCTGTGAATTTAGAATCCATCCACAAATGGCTGCCCTACAATCCCATATTTCATAGTTGTTTCATAGTATTGAATCCCATTATCTTTTTCTACCTGTAGACTTCTAGTTGTAGCAGAACTACAGTCTGTCCAGCTCTGAGCAGTTGTATGTCCTCGGGATGCTCTGGATGGCATCTCTCACCTCAGCACGTTGTTTATTCAGGCTACCATTACAGGGTTGTTTTGCTTGCTTTAGGAAATCACCACTTGCTGATCATACCCTCGGATAGTGTACTGGAGAACAAAGCCTAATGCATTTCATGTTCAGTTTGGGGTTGTTTGGGGGAACTTCAAGTGCACAGGCTTGGGGATGTGATACAACCATTTGTTGCCTTTCTGGCTGCCTGTGAAACAGCGGACTAAGGCATTCATTCTCTGATTGCAGTGCTGTCCTGAGTTTAAACTTTCTGGGACAATGAGCCTGTTCTCCCTCTATCTGTATGGTATCTGTTGTGTGCTGGATACTATGGCAGTATAATTAATCACGGTATTTTTGTCCCATAATGTGCTGATCTATGTTTTTCTCAAAACAAGCAAAATCTAGGACATTTAGGAAGTAGAGCCACTTTTCTTGGTAGATCTACTAATGCATGTGAATTTTGTTGAAACTTTAGAGTATACTTCCTGTACTAAAATGCCTGTTTCTCTCCCCCCCAGAGAAGCACACCTAGCCCAGTTCATCAGAGTAGAGACTCATCGACACTTGAAAAGCAGATTGGTGCTAGTTCTCATAATGGCATAAGCAATGCTGCTGGAAACAAGCCACTGGCTTTGGCTACCTCAGGTAACAGCCTCATCTACGCGAAGGTGCCCTGTCTTGTCATGACAGCACCCCCAAGTGCACGCGTCGGAGTTTTCCGAGCACTTCTTGTCAGGTCATTCATGCAGTAGAGTGTTGGATAAATGTGTGTTTTGTAACGAGGCCAAAGAATCGTGGATGATGATGTTTTGAGACAGTGTGTGCCTACAGCTTGGATGCATTCTGGCATAAAGTATTGGTTTGATGTGCTTTACCTGAACTGCAGCACCTTGCAGTGTAAATAAATAATTGTTTTTGTAATCCACATAGAAGAATTTAAGAGATTCCTACCTTTACAATGTGTCAAACTAGCAAAGTGTTGCATAACTGTGCAATGAGCTGATGATCTGGCTTTAAAGTTTTATTTTACAGGGTGATGGAGGTTTTTTAATAGCAAAATTAATTTCTTGATGCAGGTCACAATGGTGCCTTATGAACAGTTGTAAAGGCACAAGTACCTGGGTAGGAAGAAATGTCAAATGGGAGAGGGTAGGGACACCTTGAAGTGCAGACATCGCTTCCAAACTCACTCATCTGTTGAAAATTGTGGCCTTTAGCTGTTCAGGATATGGGAATGTTGTGGACCAGGAAAAGTAGGTTCTAGCCTACAGGAGCTATTCTATGGCTGTTCCCTCATCAGGGAGTGCATTTGTTCTTAATGTTTACCACCTCGAGGGGCTTGTGTTGTTTCTAGCATCTGTTTTGCAAAGAAGGGCTTGGCTGCAGTTTTCTTTAAACCAATGAAGTATTTAAAAAATCTTGTTGTAAAACAATACCATGTTCCCTTTCATTTAGACAGCCCAGAGACAAGGCCTTACTAGAGCACTAAACCCGTTTCTGGTACGCCATGACAAATACCTAATTCCCTTTCCAAGCTTCCTCCCATGTGGCATTCTTCTGCCACAGTTTCTTTGAAGGTCCCCTGTCACTCCCTAAGCCACAGCTTTTTGTTTAATTTTGAGAAGGAGGTGGGCTGCATGGATGACAAAGTCCCTTCTTTTTTTGGGGGAAGGAAATGGACTGAATTTGGCCATCTATTTCCTTGAACCCTGATTTCAAAAGGCATGGTAGCTCAAAAGAAACTTACACTTGAATTCCATTTAAAAACTGGGTAGAGCAGAGGATATCTCTGTATAACGCATGAATTTTCCTGAACTGGCAAAAGAGTAGCAAAAATCATTAACCCCTAACTGAAACTGTCAGCACTCAGAGCCACGTTCTCCACTGCACCGTGCAGTTTCCCATGTAATACACGGCAGGTAGAGCTGAAACCACTCCCAGTCATCCCAGAAATCTAGCACTGTGCACTATCACTCAGCAGAAGCAATGATGTATACTTTCCCTTTCAACAGGTTTTTCTTACTCTTCTGGCTCCGTGGCAGTCAATGGAAATCTTACAAACAGCCCAGCCCATCTTAACCATAGTGTTGATCAGGCAGCTCTGGACGACTCTGGGAGTCTGTTTAACTCAGTAGGGTCTCGGAGTTCCACTCCACAACATCCTTTGCTAATGATGCAGTCAAGGAACTCTGGGCAAAACTCCCCTGCTCACCAGCACTCAACAAGCCCCAGGTTAAATGGCACCTCCCAGAGCCTGGTAGGGGTATTGCAATATGCAGATGCTCAGAAGATGTTTGCCGAAGGAACAAAGGGGGATCTTCAGTCTGATGCAGCGTTTTCAGATCCTGAGAACGAGGCCAAGAGAAGAATCATCTTTACAATCTCTCCTAATACAGGACATGTAAAACAATCCCCTTCCAACAAGCACAGTCCTCTGCCCACGAGCGCTCGGCTGGACTGTGGCCAAGCACACGTGCAGGATGGGAAGAAGCGAGGCCGGCGGAAGAGATCCTCTACTGGGAATCTCAGCGGGAACTCCGGGGTCTCCCCTAAACGCAAATCCTTACCTACTGTGTCTGGACTCTTTACGCAACCATCAGGTTCACCGCTCAATATCAACTCCATGGTAAGGGCAAAAATGAAGAGCTCTAGCAAGAGCGAAGGGCCTGGGAAAGCTCTTTGAATTAGAAATGAGATTCAACTGTTAGAATTAGAAATAAGATTCTTTAGCTGTTTAATTCTTTAACTCTCAGGCTGTTAGAGTGCTAGCAGCTAGAATTGGTATGAAGACCCTTTCTGAAAATGGCCCCTCTGAGAGGCAGAGAATTGCTGAAAAGTTGGTGAACTATTTCTGTATAGGAAGAACATATTCAAAGAGTTCTTTGCTGTCAGAGCATTAAAAATTTAAAAATAATCTCTTGCCTTATGACAAAGACCTTGTTTCTGCAGAGAAGTTGATTTTTAGGCTGTAGGTTAAATATTTTGAAAATAGTTTAAACTAAGATTGACTAAATAGCGTAAGAGTGCCAGAAGCATATGGCATTCTTGCATAATTAAGCCAGCTATACAAGTTGTGTTCATGTGATCCTGCAATGGTAGTTTGGAGGGGAAAAAAAAAAGTGATGATCCTATGTCTTAATTTCTGTATTTAAACATTAAATTGAAGAGCAAAACCTAGATATTTTTCAAATTATATTAAAGCTTTCATCTCGGGCTCTAATGCAGGATGGTGGAGTATAACAACGGCAGTTCTAAAGAAGCAGCCGTTGGCATTCCTAAAGCTGGGCAAGTTAAGCCTGCTTTTAATATCCTTAACAAGATGCCTTGTTTCTAAAGGGATACTCTCATCTGTAACTGCTTTCTTTCCTTCTTGCCCAGGTCAATAACATTAACCAGCCTTTAGAAATAACAGCCATTTCCTCTCCTGAAAACTCCCTGAAGAACTCTCCTGTTCCTTACCAGGACAATGACCAGCCCCCGGTACTGAAAAAGGAAAAGCCCCTCATTCAGACCAACGGCGTTCATTACTCTCCTCTAACATCAGATGAAGAGCAGGGATCTGAAGATGAGCACAACAGCAGCAGGTGAATACACAGACATGGGTTTCAGGATGAGATTTCTCTGAGAGCTGATAATGGTGCTCTAACTGAGAGATGTGTTAAGCTTTCTTTGTTCCCTTTGCTTGGAGATGGTTCCATTATACGGAGCCTCTTTACGTGGCTGAAATTGTGAATAGGGAAGGTATTTAGGCAGTGGTACTTGAATGTGGGAACCTACTGTTGCTGTGTTTGCAAGGCTGACAGTGTCTGGCCTCTGAAAGAATTAGTGTAGAAATGATTTTATTTTTTTTTTTTTTACTACGTTGCTTTGTAGAAGTACTGAGACTGCCTGTGTAATCTTAACTAAGAATCTGTCTTCTGCTCTCTCCCAGTTTCAACTTGATTCAAAATTCTTCACTTCTTGCCCCAAACTGTTGATGTGTTGCTCTGAAAATTGAGTGCTTGCCACCCTTTGCCTGCCTGTAGGGTGCAATTTTTTTTTCTTGTTTAAGGTGCTGGAAAAGTAACCACTATAGAAATGTGAGCGAGAGCCTACTTCTTGTTGTGAAAGAAAAGCAACAATGAAGTCCTCTGAAAGTGCACTAATCTTGGCAAAGAGCAATAATTCTGTAACAGCTTCTACTTAAAGTTTGTGGTAGATTTTTTTTTTTATGCTTTTAAGTTCAGTAACATACAGCTGTCTAGCTGACTTGGCTTTGTATACTCCAGTCAACTGTTAAAACGTGAGCATGAGGAAGATAGGTTATGAGGGTAAATGTGCAACAAGAGATCTGCAACGAGTGCTATAGCCTTTTTATTTTCCCACTAGAATCGAGAGGAAAATTGCAACAATATCATTGGAAAGCAAATCTCCACAGAAGACTGTTGAAAATGGTAAGTGCAAGGAATGTTAATTATTTATTGTAATGGTTGGACTTGGGAACGGGTGTCTGCCACTGACTGAAGTTGTTAGTACGCAGCAGGCTTTTCTGTGCTCCTGAGCAAAGGGCAGTTCTGCCAGGGCTTTTCATAATCGTAATAAAGACAGGTGGCTGATAATTACAGATTTGGGGTCAGTTCTTTCTGTAGTCACAGGTCACCAAAGATCTGACCAGGTTTTTTGTTGACTCAGAGTCTGGGGAGGGATCTGTGGTACAAAGAGTAGATCAACACGCTCAGGCTTTCAGAGCATTAAACTAAATTTGAAGGACTTTTAGGTGACTTCACAAATATTTCTGCCTTTGGATCAAAACCAGAATTGCAGACAGATAAAACATGAGTGTTGAAAGATAAAACCCTGTTCTTAATGAGCAGATTCAGCAAATGCTGTTTTTTGACACTTAGAAATTTTCTTCCAAACCAGGTGGCAGCTTATCTGGGAGGAAGCAAGCACAAAGCAACGAGAACATGAATAGCAGTAAATGGAAATCTACTTTTTCACCAATATCTGACATCAACCTGACCAAAACTACAGATAGTCCTTTGCAGTCATCTCTGAGCCAGAATTCGCTGTTTGCCTTCAGGCCGTCCTCCGAGGATAGCCTTGCCATTGACGCCAAGATCACAGCACACACGAGGAAAAGCATTGCCATGCCCTCCTCTGGGGCAGATGGGCTCAGCCCTGGTACAAATTCCACTAACGGATTCGCCTACAATGGTGGACTGTCAACTGACATTGGTTTACACAGCTTTATTGATGGTGCTTCTCTTCCGCATAAGGCTTCAGACATGACGACTTCCAACTGCTCCCTGGGTTTCCAGTCGCAGCGAAGCAAAGATGTGGGGGTATCGGAAACGAATCCTTTTTTGAACAAGAGGCAACTCGAAGGCCTCAGCGGTACGAAAGGAGAAGACTTAAATCGGTCAGGGGTCAAAGGCAAAGAGATCAGCGAAATAAGCATTCGTACTGGGGGTTCTTCAGAAAAAAACTCTTTGCAGCATAATGGAAAGGTTGGCAAAGGAAGGGACCGAGATGTGGAGTTTAAAAACGGCCACAACCTTTTCATTTCTGCTGCTGTTTCATCTGGTGGCCTTCTGAATGGTAAAAGCCTTTCTACTGCTGTTTCTTCAGCAGGCAACCCAGCATCTTCTGTTCAGACGCACCATCCTTTCCTAAACACTTTGACCACTGGATCGCAGTTTCCCCTCGGCCCCATGGCCTTGCAAGCAAACCTCAACTCGGTGACAAATTCCTCAGTATTGCAGTCCTTATTTAATTCAATGCCAGCTGCTGCCAGTCTGGTCCACGTGTCATCAGCTGCAACCAGACTGACTAATTCTCACACTATGGGGAACTTCTCTCCTGGGGTTACAGGTGGAACAGTTGGAGGTAGGCAGAACTCTTTCTCTGGTATAAGACAGGGCCTAAAGGAAAGTCTGACACTGCCTCTCCAGGGGTGAAACCCTTTCATTTCTGCAGGATGTGAAGCAAATCTGTCCCACATAACCAGTCTCCTCTCTCTCTTGGAAATGCTAGGATGAGTTCAGTTCCCCACAGTGAAATCTCATGAGCTTTGTCTACTAGATGAGCTTGTTCTGTCACCTTAATGAAAGAATACACCCAGACTTTGTGATTTCATAATGTATGCTTGTTCAGATGTTGCTGTGTTGGAACCAACTTAGGTCCGCCTGCAGGTAAAAGATTTAACTTGTCCTGGTACCGAGTTAAGGATCTCTAACTTGTCAACTTGAGTAAAGGTTGAGATTAGGCCTTGAATGGATTTAGCATGATCCGGGAAGAGCAAAACATGAGTGCCTCTTCAGAGGAGATGGTGTTGGGAATTGCGTAGCATTCTGGCTCTTGAATGGACACGAAGAGTGTTTCTTTGCCAGGAAGGGCAATGCCATATGCACCTTGCACTTCTGGGATTCTGCACAGGCTTGGCTTCTGTGGCCCAAACCGGAGACAAGCTGGCAGGATTAGAAGATAGTCTGAACCTGCCGTCACTAAGTATCCAAGGCAGTTTTTCTTACCTGTCCATAATCATTCAGGCACCATGTCGGGAAATCCTAACTCTCACATCTCTCAGCACATAGATTTGCTGGAAATACAATCTCCCCTCTGCTGCCCTGTAAGTGGGAAAGCAGGAGGGTGGGGAGGGAAGAGCAGCAGTTTGAGTCTTCAGATAAACAACTCTAGAGACCACGTAATCTCATCAAAAGTCTACCTGTGTGGTATAGAACTGACAGTTCTTGGGTCTGACCATTTTTCCTCGTGGCATTTAGAGGTTGGCAGTAGGAAAGGTAAGTGAAATCTTTTGTACCTCCTGGCCTGCACCATTATCTCTCATTGCTTGCTGCCTTCTCATGCTGCATATTTTTGTATGGGGCTGTGACTATTATAATTTTGCTTTTTTCTTTTTTTTTTTTTTTGGTTTTGTTTCTCTTGTCACTTGAGACTGTACAAAGCCCATCTGTTGAAGCTGAGTTTTTCTCTCCTGTTTGCAGGTATTTTTAACCATGCGGTGCCTTCTGCCTCCTCTCCTCATCAATTTGGAGCCAGTTTCAGCAGCAGTGCTGTCTCTAGCAGCACAGTGCTAAGCTTAAACCCTCTGCAGGCTGTTGCCAGCACCTCATCCTCATCCTTCCCACCCCCCTCCTCTAATTTAGTAACATCTAGTGAGACTAGATCTGCTCAGCACCTCAACAGAGCACCAGTGCAATCTGTTTTCCATTCCCCTCCGCCCCCTCCTAACGTTTCGTTGCCCCCACCTCCTCCATTACTTGCTTCTAACTCCGAGCCTGCGCTTCTGCAGAACCTGCCATCCATCCCACCTGGCGAAGCTTTTTTGCCATCCTCTTCTGCTGCTTCTGTCCAATCTGTTAATGCTTCTTTGTCTATTAAGCTAGCTTCTCTCCAGCACAAAACCTCCCGCCCCTCCTTTACAGTCCATCACCCGCCTCTGCCCCGTTTGGCGCTGGCACAGTCCGCGCCCATGATCACGCAGTCCAACACAGCTGGCACGTCCGCTATGTGGGTTACACTTGGCATGCAGTCTCCTTATGCTTCGCACCTTTCTGGGGTTAAGCCACGATAAAGAGCTTGCTTAGCTAACAGTTCTTATTTTGTAAGGTAAGGCTAGAGAAAAAAAAAGAGGGGTTTTGTACAAGATGCTGAATGATGCTTCTTCCTTTGCAGAGATAGGTTGGGGATGGGCTCTGTCAAACAGAGAAACCTCTAAAATGTGGGAAGCAAATAATCTGATGGCAAAGGATGGAGAGTCTTAATGCTCTCTGTTCTGGGAGTCAGGATTTCTCGACAAGGCGTGCTCACAATGGTAACTCTGGTCTGTCTCGTCAGACATTAGGATTATGTTCAGGTTGGGATCACTTCATGGAAATGTTTATTTCAGTAACCAGGAGGAAACGTCTATTTTTAAGTATGGTTTTACAGAGTTATTGGAAGTGGTGGTTGCCGTCTTTTATTCCCCCCTCCCCTTTTCTTGCCCTCCAACACAGACTGTTGCATCTCCACCAGTCCATGTTCACATAGCGTTAGGATGCGTAATGGTGCCGCTTTGTGCCTGTATGTGGCAATGTGGTCTTGGTTTTACTGTCAGTCAACAACAGCTGCTCTAAATAATCACAAAGTTAAAAATCTCTAGGTTACAAGCTGCAGCTCTGTCTTGGAGAGCAAATGCCCTGGTCTTGCATTGCAGTTAATGTGCCCCCTGCATCACTGGAAAACACAACCACAGGTAGCAAAGAAAGGTTGTGATTTATCTGTGCGCTGCGGCTTTATTGGACTTGCCTGCTAGGGCTAACAGTAACAGACTCCATCAGATGCTGTATTTATGCTCACTTGGCAATTGCTGGCTTACTGGGTAGACTGTGAATGGGAACAGAGGATATCTGCAGGGTTAACTCTGGTCCGTGCTTCGTAAAGGCTGGGGCCACGGAGGAGAGGAGGGTTTCCGGAGACTGTATGCATTTTTTACTAAAGCAGGTATTTAAATGTCTTTAGAGCGACTCCAGAATAAAGTGTACCACCACAGAGTTGGGTACTGTTGTTAATGAAAATACTCTGTGGCATCCTGATGTAACGACTTGTGCTTGCAAAGTGAAATCGGTATGTTAGGCCCCAGAGCTTGCTCCGTGCTTTTCTTGTAGGTCTTTAATGTTGTTGCTGTTCACTGATACCAAAGCTACATACAATATATGGTTGAATACTCTTTGCCGCTTATAAAACATATGACTCAATTACAATATACCTGAGAGATTCTTTTGACTGTGCATTGTGTATAGCGTCTTCATCAAATTGCTCCACAGACACGAACAAATCCTCGTTAGGCTTTTGTGAGGCACGTAAGTATTACCTCCGTCCTTCTGTACAAGAAAGCGAGGCTGAGGAAGAATTTTGAGTAACGTGGTCCCACCAACAGCCTGGTGTGGTTACGAAACGGGCTTGAAAACCCTGAATAGAAACAAGATGGGGTGGGAGAAGGGGCGAGGAGGGTTAGGTTCGGGGTTTTCTGTATGTGAGTGACTTGAGTGAGAACAGTGCGAAAGCCTTCTGCTGAAGCAGTTGCCTTACCTGGGTCTGAGGTCGTATTGGGCCAGACTCGGTAGCATCGGATGCGATGGTCCCTGTTACAGAAAGGTTCTGAGCAAAATAGGCGAGGCGCAGTTGGGACGTATGGAGAAAGGTAGCTGGATGGCAAAGCTGGACTGTGGAGCAAAGGAGCAGAAATAATGCTGCCGGGAGACGGTGTATGACAGACGTACCGTAGTTGTGGTTACGCTCCGTGTGACTCTTGAACATAGGTTAAATCTCTGAGCAGTTTCATTGACTTTGGTGTGAATACGTGTGCTCAGAGTCCTTGATGAACCAAGGTTGAAATATGGAATCGGGGGCTGAAATAATCTGCTTTGCTTCTCATAATTTTTCTCCCCCAGGGTAATAAAAAATTCAAAGCAGATTAGTGTGTGCTAGAAAAAGGTGAAGTACTGAGTGGGAGAATACGTTTTTCCCCCTCACTCAAGGTCAGTCACAGGAGGACAGAGTTCGATATGGTTGCACTGTCAGAAAGCTTTGAAAACTGAAAAAAACCCCTCTTGGAGGCATCCATCTTTTCTGTCTAATTGCGGTCTCATCAAGAGTTGCTGCTCCTTTGCTGGCTAACGAGGTCTTGGAGCAATGAAGCATTGATTGACGCATCTAACGCAGTAGATTTTTTGTCTTTTATTTAGATGAGTCTCTTCCTCTCCTCCTGTTGTGCAGGTAACTAGGATTTCTACCTCAACCCAATGTGACCTATGCAAGGACAACGTGGACCAACTTCACTCGGCTTCCACTGAAAGGTGCTCACCTGGCCTGTGCAGGGGTTTCTACTCTCTTACTACTGGACAAAATAAAACCATAAAAAGACCTAAACAACAGAGAAAAGAATATTTACTGTGAATCTGAGTAAAAAAAGAAAAAAAGAAAAAAAAAAGGCAAAAGAAATGCTTAAAGCTCCAGTTTGTATTGTTGATAGTTTAGATAAAGTATTTATCTTTTTTTTAAGTGAAAACAATTTTGACTTATTTTATTCCACCTAGAATCATAAATACAACTTATTATTAAATTCTCTGAATAATAAAGGACTGGCACACCAGCAGAGATGTAAAGAGCCTCCTCTCGGTGCTATTTCATCCGTCAGAACTGTGCCTCTCGTTTGAATCCTTGGTGCTGAATTTGGAGGGTTGACCAATGCCAAACCCAGTTCTCAGAAAGGTCTGCAGTTTATTTATTCAACTTACTCTGTTCATATACCAAAACCCACTCGGTTTGCAGCAGTGTGAGCTACAGAGAAAGGCAGTCTTCTATCCAACGTTTTGTTTTCATTTAAACTGAGCCAGGCGCTCTGTTAACTGGGTGGTTTTTAATCATGTTCGTTAGGAACGAACTCATCGCTCCCCTCTGGAGTGGCAGCTAGAGCACCTGGGGCGGCCCCGGCGAGCTCAGCCAACGCAGGCACAGTTTGAGCAGAAGAAATTCAAGTCCTGCCCCATTCGAACTGCTTCACCGGGCCGTTTGCAGTCGCTGGTGGCACTCGAGTCACTGTGAATTTTTGGTAGCTAGTCTGGTAACTTGTTTTGGGATGTCGTTGGCATATGAACAGGGTGCGTAATCACTGGTATTGGTCAGGCCCTTCTTCCCGGCGTTGGGAAGACTGAACGTAGTGCTTCTGTACTGGTGCAGGTAGCAGATTTTCTCAGCTCGTTGTTTTTGTTCCAAGTACAATGTATTTTGTTAGTAGGGTTTGATACTTGATTCGGAAATGGCTTAGCCGTGTACATTAATTGACGAAGTGCATTTTGCTTTTGTATTTCTTTGCTTTAAGTAGGTCTAAATGGTAGTTCACAAAAACACCACAATCTAGCTTACCGTGCTGCCACGCTATCAAACTGGTGCAGTTAATCGTATTGTGACTTGGTGTTCTGTGTACAGAAAGTGCCGCTCCGAGCAGCGGCTGTATTTTATAGAGATGTGATGAAAAATTATAAATTTCATATACTTTATTTCATTTATTTTTAGATTGTACAATGCACAGTAAACTTGTAAAAAGTTATTTATTCGAGTGCACAAAGTGAGGAGAAGGATGATCCATTAAGTAGAAATCACGCTGGTCTGTAGCTCAGACTGGACCAAGCACCAATAAATGAAACTACAGTAAAAAGAAGGGGAATTGCAACAGCAAAATGACTAGAAGAAAAACACATTTAGGCTTTGGGAAACATCTGCCTGCTAGCCCCGGTGCTAGCATTGACTGCTCTGCGTCGGAGGCACTCACTGTCCTGAAATCCCTTACGGATCGCTGGTGCTCCCTAATGAGTCTCCCACCTCCAGCAATGGGGCATTCACCTCAGACTCGAGCCCTGCCTTCCCAGGGACCTGACGGAGCATCCCGCAGTCACAAAAAGCCGGGCTGAACGCGTTGGCTGCTCAACTCTTGCCTCCGTGTTCGAAGGAGGCGAGGTACCTCTGCCCTCGGTGCTCTCTCCTGCCGCCTGCCTCGGGGAGGAAGGGTTGCGAGCGCCGTGCTGGCCGTGCTCAAGAGCAGCGGGGGTGAGGTTGCCGTAGGCCCTTTTCTCCGTACCTCATCCCCGGCAATCTTAGTAGAGATTAAGGACAAAGTGCAGTTATTTTGTTAATTCCTAAAGCGTGTCTTCCACAGGCAGCCTTTGTGCGCAGAAACCGTTGATCTAACTTTGCCTTCTTATTCGCTGGAAAGGGAAGGGATTGATAGCCCTGGAAATTAGGGGTGTTTTAGAACTGTTTTCTGCTTTGCGTGTGGGAGAGGACTTGACAGCGGTGCGCCCTGCTGAGTTATTAACAGCAAGATGAAAACCTGGAAAAGGGCAGAAATGCTCAGAGGGTGGTAGCTGAGAAACATCCAGTAGCTTCTAGTAGAAGCCGTACACAGTGTATGTCCTGGAATCCAGGAAGACAATGTAACCCAGATGTTCTGCAGCTGGGAGTTGGGCAGCTCCGAGCTTCTTCCAGATCCTGGGGTAACTGGAAGTTGCAGAGCTGCCTTAGCATCCTTCCCAGTGAACGGCAGAGTGCTCAGGTCTCTGAAGGCTTTAAATTGGTAGGCTGTGCCTGAGCAGTTGCTGGAGGGGCAGCAGCCTTAATTACATCTCCCCCCCGATCACTTAAATTCCCAATGAGAGATGAGGAAATACAAGTAGAAGCTTTTAACCACTCTGCTTTTATCGGATCCCTTTCTGAAAGGGATACAGTGCTGCTTGGGCCTCGTGCCCCCCGTCATCTCAACCCGCAGAAGACATCCAGCTCGCTTGTTCTGTACGGGGAGGTTGGCTTGTGCTCATGCCCGAGGCGTCACGGGATGCTAGCAGAGATGCCTGTTTGGAGAAGGAACCGACTCGTGGAGCTCTGTTGAACCTGCTGTGCCTTCCAACACCTGCTTGGGGCCCGTGTCACCCAGCTGGCTCCCAGCACCCCTCGGGTGAAGACCCTTGTTGCGGGAATGACTTGCTTTGCCCTGAGGTTCACAGAATTTCAGGAATTGGCGTCTGGGGAGCAAGACAG